CCTGCTGCTAGCCCGTGGGCTCTGGCTGCTATCCTGACCTGGCACAGACAGGGTTTGTGGCGCAGGGTTTTGGTGGTTGCGCAGGGTTTGGGGTGTGGCCAGTCCTAACGTCACTTTCGGAACCAATAGAAAACTAAAAAACGACAGCAGCTGCCAGGGATTGGGCGCTGCCCCTAGCTCTGGCGTGCTATCCTGACATGGCTCCTGCTGCTAGCCCGTGGGCTCTGGCTCCTATCCTGACCTGGCGCACGTGGGCTCTGGCTGCTATCCTGACGTGGCGCAGGGTTTTGGTGGTGGCGCAGGGTTTGGGGCGCGGCCAGTCCTAACGTCCTAACGTCACTTTCGGAACCAATAAAAAACTATAAAAAACGACAGCAGCTGCCAGGGATTGGGTGCTGCCCCTAGCTCTGAGGTGCTATCCTGACATGGCTCCAGCTAGCCCGTGGGGCGTGGCTGCTATCCTGACCTGGCACAGGCGCAGGGTTTGAGGTTGGGACATGGCTCCTGCTGCTAGCCCGTGGGCTCTGGCTGCTATCCTGACCTGGCGCAGGGTTTGAGGTTGGGACGGGATTGGTTGCGCGTAGCACAAGCATAGCACAAGCATACCTTTTCTGACGCGCTCCCCCCTGCTTCGCCAGGCTCTGGCTGCTATCCTGACCTGGCACAGGCACAGGGTTTGAGGTTGGGACGTGGCACCTTGGCCGTGATGTGGGCTCTGGCTGCTATCCTGACGTGGCGCAGGGTTTTGGTGGTGGCGCAGGGTTTGGGGGCCAGTCCTAACGTCACTTTCGAAACCAATAAAAAACCATCAATCAAGACAGCCGCTGCCAGGGATTGGGTGCTGCCCCTAGCTCTGGGGTGCTATCCTGACATGGCTCCTGCTGCTAGCCCGTGGCACAGGGTTTGAGTTGGGACGTGCCACCTTGGCCGTGACGTGGGCTCTGGCTGCTATCCTGATGTGGCGCAGGGGTTTGGTGGTGCGGCCAGTCCTAACGTCATGACATGGCTCCTGCTGCTAGCCCGTGCGCTCTGGCTGCTATCCTGACGTGGCGCAGGGTTTTGGTGGCGGCGCAAGGTTTGGGGTGCGGCGCCCTTGGCCCCTGACGCTGGTTGCTTTGGGGCGAGCCCCCGTCCTAACGCTGCGTTCGGACGTGGCCCCTCGCCCTGACCTGGGCTCTGGCTGCTATCCTGTGACGTGGCTCCTGCTGGCCCTAGCCTTGACGTGGCCCCCTGGCCGTGGGCTCTGGCTGCTATCCTGACGTGGCGCAGGGTTTGGTGGTGGCGCAGGGTTTGGGGTGGGGCCAGTCCTAACGTCACTTTCGAAACCAATAAAAAACTATCAATCAAGACAGCAGCTGCCAGGGATTGGGTGCTGCCCCTAGCTCTGGGGTGCTATCTCCTGACGCGTGACGTGGGCTCTGGCTGCTATCCTGACGTGGCGCAGTGTTTTGGTGGTGGCGCAGGGTTTGGGGGCCAGTCCTAACGTCACTTTCGAAACCAATAAACTAGACGACGAGTGGCCCGAAAGCATTTTTCATCACGTAGGAAATCAGAGTGCGAGTTATCCGGTAAGTGTGTAGTGAGAAGTGTTAAGTCGAGTGAGTTGAGGTAGTGTGTGGGTTTCTGTGCGTGTGTCTATGTCCGTGTGGAAACGAGTCTGCGTATGTGTGTGTTCGTGGAAGTTGAGGGAGTGTGTGGGTGTCTGTGTGCGATGCGGCCTCCCAAACCCCCCACCGGCGGCCAAGCGGTGACAGCCCAGCTCATCGTCGTGAGCATTTGGGCTGCTGGTAAGGGGACAA